GGGAGGGTTGGTTTTGCCAGGTACAAATTTCCCTCCTGCTGCTTGCAGGCTCAGCAGAGCTCAGATAAGGTGGAAGCGAAGCCGTCGCCAAGATGTTCCTCTACAACCTGACCTTGCAGCGTGCCACCGGCATCAGCTTTGCCATCCATGGCAACTTCTCAGGTGGTTTTTCTCCTCTTTTCGTGCTTCTTGGCTCGAGATGTTTCCAGTAATAGAGGAAAAGAAAAGGTGTTTGATTTTCTTTTGGGTTGAGTGCTGAAGCTTGTGCCCTTCAGACTAGAGTTTTGGTTTGTTTTTTTTCCCTCTTGCATGTTTACATTTGCTTTTGAGCATATTGCTTGAGCTGTTGAAACCTGTGGGGAGATCAGGAGAAGTTTGGAATGATTCTGTTTTTATTTAATACATTTAACATAATATTTTGTCCCGATCTGCTAGAAGATGCTCAAAACAGCAGTGGCATCTTATGTCATTAAGTTGCTTTGAATTCTTCTGTAATAATTTGGCATTTCGTAGTTGAAAAGTTTTATCTTCTTTCCTAAAGTCTTTTTAGAAGTTGCATGTTCTGTGTTGGTACTAACTCTTCTTCACATTCTGGGTTCATTAGGAACCAAGCAGCAAGAAATCGTCGTTTCCCGGGGCAAGATCCTGGAGTTGTTGCGCCCGGATCCCAACACGGGGAAGGTTCACACCTTGCTGACTGTGGAAGTGTTTGGAGTTATCCGCTCCCTCATGGCCTTCAGGCTCACAGGTGGGACCAAAGACTACATCGTGGTGGGCAGTGATTCGGGACGCATCGTTATTCTGGAGTACCAGCCTTCAAAAAATGTGTTTGAGAAGATTCATCAGGAAACCTTTGGCAAGAGCGGATGTCGCAGAATCGTTCCGGGCCAGTACTTGGCCGTAGACCCGAAGGGCCGTGCTGTCATGATCAGTAAGTCAGTCTGTTCACTCGTTTTACTGCATTTATTATTTTTTTTTCCCCCCTCCCATCTTGGGGATATTTGTTTTGGAGTGAGTTTCTGCCAGTATCGTTGGAAGCGTTTCTTCTCGGGCAGTTTGTTAGGCTGTGAGGTGTGTCGAGGAGAATGCGGGCACTTGGAATAGTTCCTTGACACCAAAAGATCTGCACAAATTAATTCCAATGCTGGGCCAAACCAAGTTGGAGAGAGGCCGGCTGGCTCAGCGATACGCAGAGCCTCAAAGTGTGATGTCTGGGGGAGAAGCTGGGACCCCAGGTGTCAGCTCCTGTAGCCTGAAATGATGTTACGAGTTCATGTCTCTTCTCTGAAGATGTGTCGTGGGGACAGCTAGATGTGTTTCTGATCAGGCTTCACAGGTACAAGGACACCTGGGCAGTTTATTTATTTTTGTTTTTTAAATAAGATTTACCATAAGGTGTCTTAGTGACATGGTGCACGAACTTTCTCAGTTTGCTGAAGCCAGGTTGTATCAGGCAAGAATATTCTTTTTTTTAGTTAAAATATTTCTGAGGAAAGGTCTTGCCAAATGGTTTTCAACAGTGGAACGTGTGGCTGCTTCTTTCAGTTTATTTTTCCTTCCCTGCATTCACCCATCTCTGGTAGGATGAGTGAGAAGATCTGCTTGTAGCCATTGCAGATCAAACATTGGGCTCGATGGACATAGCTCAGCGGCTTTAAAGAGCTGGAGTTGTCATCTCTGCTCATGCCTTGAAATGTTAAAAATGAGACATTTCGAGTTAATTGATGGCAAGTAAATAATTGGTAGAGGTAAATACCCGTAGTGGACTTCAGCAGAAGTTCTCCTGCAGAGTTACATATCAGAATTGGGCTTGCAGGTATGATGGAACTTGATTGTCAGGTGCTGTGCTTCAGGTGCTGTCGTCCTTTCCTTGCAGGCGCTATCGAAAAGCAGAAGCTGGTGTATATCTTGAACAGGGATGCTGCTGCTCGCCTCACCATTTCTTCCCCGCTGGAAGCCCACAAGGCCAATACCTTGGTCTACCACGTGGTGGGAGTCGACGTGGGATTTGAAAACCCGATGTTTGCTTGTCTGGAAATGGATTATGAGGTGAGAACTTGCTCTCCCTTGGCTGTCTTTTGAGCTTTGTCCTTCCTCTGCTGTTCTTAATCTGTCTGTGGGAGCAGGGAATGTTGGCTGCTTCTCTCATGCTGGTTCTTAAGTTCTTGCAGGTGGGCTGCAAAAGCTGGTGGGCTGCAAAAGTGCGTGTTTTCTTCTTCTGAACTTTTGTTTCTTGCATCTTCCAGCAAGTCTCCTTTTGGACTTCTTTCTAACATTAGTCAAAACTGTTTGCCCATGCATCATCAGCTTTACTCCTCGCTTAACACCTTTCCTGAGAGGCACCTTCGTGTGTTGCGTTGTAGGAAGCAGACAATGATCCAACGGGAGAAGCAGCAGCCAACACGCAACAGACGCTGACGTTTTATGAGCTGGACTTGGGTTTGAACCACGTTGTTAGGAAATACAGTGAGCCCTTGGAAGAGCATGGCAACTTCCTCATAACAGGTATTGACCATCAAGTCATTTTTTTTAGTGTGGATCTGCTTGGTTTCTAGTCCCCAGGGGAGCAAAGTCGATGAGCTTTGTCTTAGGAGTTGTTTCAAAGGTAGTCTGAGTGATTAGTATTAATTAATTCACACAGGCAGCTGCACTCAGTCTTTTGTCTTGTTCAGTAGGAGCAGAGTTGTATTTGTAGGGTGAGAGAGAGCACTGGGAACTAAGTTGCTTTAAAGAAAAACAGAAGAAATGTTCTGCCTGCAGTTAGTCAGATCTATGTAAAGGACTTTATTCATAATACTACTTCTTTGTGTTTCAGTTCCTGGGGGTTCTGATGGACCTAGCGGGGTGCTGATCTGTTCTGAAAACTACATTACTTATAAAAATTTTGGTGACCAGCCTGATATCAGATGCCCAATTCCCAGGAGACGGGTAAGAATCTTGGGGTTCCTACCCCCCCCCCCCCCCCCTTTTTTTTTTTTTAAGATTGTCTTTTTCAGTGGGAAGCGAATGCTTGGTATTTGCCTTTCAGGGTTTAAAGAAAGCATCACAGTGGTTTTAAAGTAGGAAGAAAAGGTGTTTAAAGTTTGTTGGCCTGTCAGCTAACGTACTGGCTGCATGTTACATGTGAGGGAAGATGAAGGTGGGCACAGCCTGAAGTGATGAGTTTGGTTCATGTCTCTTCTCTGAGATTTATGCTGGAGATACTCCAAAGACTCTGATCAGGCACCGCGGTGGCGGCGCTGTTGGTGTAAGATGGGATTCCTTGAGATGGCGAGCCACGTGTGCAGGGGAATTTGACAGCTGCTCTGTTGCGTCAGGGGCTGCTTCCTCCTCCTTTGGAATTGCACGAAAAAAAAAAATAAAAATCATCGTGTGCTTTGACAGCGCTTTGAACACCTGCCGGGCTTGAGGTGCTGTGTGTGGGTTGCAGCTCTTTTCTCCCTGTTTGGGTTCGATACAGGAGAGAGTTTGCCCTCTGGGGAGGGGGATAAAAGAGATGGGAGGGCTGATACTTAGGTACAATGTCTTAGAAATTTATTTCCTTCAGGGGCAGAGACGTAGCAAGGGTAACTACAGGTGTAACAACAGAGGAGATGTGTTTTGTTAAAAGCCACTTCACACACTGTCAGCTCTTAAAAGCACCTGTGAAATGGGAATACTTCAGTCGGTGAAATCACATTTGCACTTACTGGGTAATTCCACCAACATCCTTTGTTTTCTTTCTTGACAGAATGACTTGGATGACCCAGAGAGAGGTATGATTTTTGTCTGCTCTGCTACACATAAGACCAAGTCCATGTTCTTCTTCCTGGCCCAGACAGAGCAGGGAGATATCTTCAAAATCACTCTGGAGACCGATGAAGACATGGTAAGCATCACACGAAGAACCACAAAAGTGTTGCTTGAGAAGAATTCTTAATCAACTCTTGATTCTCTGAAGTGATAAATATTTAATGTGAGTTTAGCTGTGTCGTGGCGTGTCCTTTAGGTGATTTGTAACACAGTTATACCCATGGTTGTAACTGCTGTTTACTCGCACAGAGACACAGCGCAAGGTTTGCAAAACCCGTTGAGAATTAGGCTGCGGAGTTGCTCGGGTGCATTTCAGATGCTCTGCAGGCGGTCCTGTTGGGAGAAGATGTGTTGTAAAGTGTTAGTCCGTGAGTCAGCTTTTGGGTATTCTAGAAACTAATTCTGGAGAACTTAAGTTTCTCTTGATCACAGTAGGTGCCCTCTATTTCATCTCTTAATTGGATAGTTATTTACATGCTGCAGTCGAATCCTTTTACGCGTTGAGGCAGCTAGCTTGGTACAGCTTGCCCATGAGTTGAAATAACAGGCTTGAACTGGCTTCCTCCCGCTTGGTGTAGTGTCTTGCAATGAAAAGGTCTGTGCTGCGGTGAATCACTTGCGGTTTTGAGTAAATGTTGATGTCTTTCATCGCTGCGCGTTAAATTTGGTACAAGGGGTGATGGTGTAGCATCTTTAAGTGTCTTAAGATTGTTCTCAGCTGCTTCACCCGGAGCTATTGCAACCATATCAAACGTAGTAATTTGCTCAGGACAGTTAGTTTTTCCCATGTTGGGGAATGGCCGGTGTTCAGTGAAGCAAATTTCTTCTTCCTTCTAGACGGCTTTCTGGTTTTCCAACTGTTTTTTTAATCCAAACTGACTCAGTGTTGCCAAAGCCAGAAAGTCTTAGAATAAAACAGGCAAGCACAACATGTGTGTTCAAAACAGGCTGCTGGATTTTTGTGATTTGCTGCCCAGAACTACTGATGTGGTTAAGCCTGGCCCACTCTCTCGCTTCCTTTCTCTGGAGAGGAAAGCTAGGCAGCTTTTTTTTATTAAATTGCAGATGTGCAGCTCCAGTACTTTGCTAATGCAGTCACATCTTGGTCTGCTTTCAGGTAACGGAGATTCGACTGAAGTACTTTGACACTGTTCCCGTCGCTGCTGCCATGTGCGTGCTGAAGACGGGCTTTCTCTTCGTGGCATCTGAATTTGGAAACCAGTGAGTAAACAATGTCACGTCAGCGTTTTCCCCCCACCCAAACAGACCGGTTCTGTTCAGGTCTGCACACTGACCCTTGAACTTATTGAACATATAAAGACAAAACCTCTGTTTTAATGGGTAAATTAATGCCTTTGTTCACATGGCTTGAGAAGAACAATTGGTTCAGGCAGTGATTGAATAGGGGAATTTTCTTGTTGTTTGAACCCAGATGAGAGATTATAACGCAGAGAACAAAAGATCACATGCTGTTGCCGTTGATTTGGGAGGAATTGAGCACTTGCAGTTCGTATAGGGTCCATCATGTAGCCAGATGAATTATTGTTTAATTAGTCGGATAGTTTTTGCTGAACTTCTGTGTTTCGGGGCCCACTGAGAAGTTGATAGGGTTTGTTAACAGTAACTGTGGTCCTTCCTCAATACATGTATGCTTGAGGGCTTTTTCAGTTCACTTTTGGGATTCTAGAATGTTCTAAGGACTCATGGGACACTGCACACCTTTGAAGATGAATGGTGGCCGAGGGATTCGCAGGAATGGAGATTTATTCTCTTTTTTTGACTACATCTGCGGTCAGCCACCTGAGGGAGCTCCAGCCAGTTTACTGGAGTGAGTCTGAACTGGGTTGCGTAAACCAAGCTCTTGAAGAAGCCATATTCACTTGAGCTTCATTAAAACCAGGAGCAAAACGAATCTTACTTTTCTGGGTTTGGGGTTTTTTTTTGTGCTTGTTTTTTTTTTTTTTACTCCTCTGAAGTTCAACTTGATAGTTGTAATATTTAGGCTCATAAAATGGAATAGGGAACACGGCTAAAAATAGTGAGGTGAGAGGATTCCAATAAAATAGATAACCTTGGAGTTGCACTCTTAGCCATTGGCCTTGCTCTTGCCCTCAGTTGTCATTTGTTCTTCTGACTTTAACACAAGAATATCTGAAAGGCTCAAGGGCAGACAGAGAGAATGGTGAAACTCTGTGACACCTTGTCAGTGGCAGCTACAAACGAGAAGATTTGGAGGGGGGAGGTTGTTGTGGGGATTTTGTGGGTTTTTGCAGACCTTTGATTCTTTTTAAACATTTTGTCACCAAGAAGACAATCTTTAAAGCTAAATTTTAATAGCTGTATAAGGTAGGAAAGGTTTTCTCTCCTCCCCACTTCCTGAATATCTGCTTAAGCTTTTCTTAGAGAAGGTGACATGGGCTTTCCACTGAAGATTTGTTGCTCTTGCTTTGTGTCTCAAGCTACCTGTACCAGATAGCTCACCTGGGTGACGATGATGAGGAGCCAGAGTTTTCTTCCGCCATGCCTCTTGAGGAAGGAGATACATTCTTTTTTCAGCCACGACCTCTCAAAAACCTGGTCCTGGTGGATGAGTTGGACAGTTTGTCTCCTATTCTGTGTTGCCAGGTATGTTGCCGTCAGCAGCTTCACAGAAGTCTTTTCTCATTTGCAGGGGAATTGGTCACAGACGCAGGAATGTTTTGCTTTGCTTTTCTGTGAGGGGTTTGTGTAAGCAGAGTCACCAAAGCTACGTTATCCTAGGTTTCCAGAAATACTGTTTTATACTAAATGCTGGTAGAAAAATGAGTCTGCTAGATTTTCAGACAGCTGCCTAAGACTGGTACCTGGCCTTAGCAGCCTTTGATTCCTGTGGTGGTAAATATATATCTGGACACAGGGATTGTCCAGCCATCCTCTGCTGCTCCTTGGTTGACATCCGACCAGTTCTCTTTCTGCATTGAGTTTGGTTCAAACTTGACGTTATTTCAGGGCAGCAGATGGTACACCCTGTGGCATCTTCACCGTTTTCAGCACCTGAAAAAAACCCAAACATTTTAAAGCAGTAGTGTGGCATATATAACTTAGTTTTGTTTTCTCTTCCTGGAGATATTGTTTGACACGATTTCTCCACACAGATAGCTGATCTGGCCAATGAAGACACACCCCAGTTGTATGTGGCTTGTGGTCGGGGGCCCCGGTCATCTCTGAGGGTTCTAAGACATGGACTTGAGGTAAGACTTCCAGCATTTCAGAAGAACGGCTTGAGAGGCGAGAGCAGTGGGAGAAAATCTTTGAGATGAGGGTCCTGAAACGAAGGGATTTTTCTTTTGCTGCGCTCTGGAGAGCAGCTTTCTCTGTGCTTGTTTTTTTGGAGATAGGAAGGTTGTACTGTTTACTCATACTCTCAAAGGCTTTTTCTGTTGTTGTTGACTCCAACCACCTGCATTTTGTCTCTTCTAATACTTGAGTGTATTGAACTGGAACATTCCCGGTGTCTCTGCCAGCTGCTGCTGCTGCTGATCTCTTCGCTGGGGGCGGTGGGGTGACCTTGTTTTCACACTGACCGTCCAGAGCTCTAGCGTTGCTGTGTCGTCACTGAATGTGCTCTAGCCCGCAGCACATCTGGCGCAGGGAGAGAGCATCAGAATTGAGAATTAGTAGCTCTCCTGCTTAGTTGTGGGAAAGCTTGAAAACTGATGGTGGTTTGACATCTCTTTTTTAAGAGCCGTGTTCCTGTTTACTCGTAGGTATCTGAAATGGCTGTCTCGGAGCTGCCTGGTAACCCCAACGCTGTATGGACTGTGAGGAGACATGTTGAAGGTATGCGGTGTTTTCCTGAAGCACAGGGAAGTTATAGTGGTTTTTTATTAGATTTTTTTTCTTTCATTTGGATTTCTGTCCAAGGAGATAAGAAAGGTGCTTGCACAATGGTTGCATGCCATCCCTGAAAGTTACTTTTTGAATTGTCGAGCACTCGTGTGTATTTAGAAGCCACCCTCTGGTCCTTTAGGATTGTCCTACTTTCTTTTGACGAAGCAACAGCTGCCTGCAGCTTCATCCATCCTCCGATACGCTACATCAGCTGCACGGTTGCAGCCTGAAGCTGCTGAACTCCTCGTCCTTTCCCACTTACCATAAGTTCTAGCTCTGCCATCAACAGGCAAGGATGATGCTTTTTGTTGGAGCACGCTCGCTATTCGTTATGTGCGCGTTGACAACTACAGTAATCGGCTCTTTGTGAGAGAGCAGGATACAAATTACAGGACAAAGAAGATAAATCAGCAACAGTGTCTATATTTTATTACTTCCCTCAATGCAGATCTGCAAAGAAAACAGGCTGTTTGGGCTAGGACATGCTCCCTATTCAAAAACCCAGCAGTGTATAGAACGCTGCTGATTCCAGGAAGGTCAAGAATTGAAATTGGCAGAGCATACTGGATTGTGGGCTTGGGGTTTGCATTTTTTTGGTTTTGTTTTTTTCCCCCGATCTGAAGTAATGTACTTCCTAAAGTACCAGAGGAAATGTAATCCCTTGTCCTGCCCTTCTCTGGAGGGTGAGAACAGAGTTCCTCAGAAACAGCTAAAAAAGCCTGCAATAAATCTATTCTGGGTACTGACAGCCTCAGTGATTATTCCCGAGGCAGTGCTTTGTATAAATCTCACAAAGACTTGCTGTAGGCTTATACAGTGGATCTAAAAATGGCAGAATGTTGCAGTGGAGACCTGGGCCTGCTGTGGTGACACAGTAGCTTGTTTTGAAGCCATCGGAGAGTTTAGTGTGTCTTCCAGGGAGCCAGTAACTTTGTGAGAGTGTCACACCTTGCTGTGGAGTTCACTTTGCCGTCTGGGACCTGCCATCAGTTCCTTTGCTTGTGTTCTAAAACTCGTATACAGCGTGGAAGGAGCTTTGGGCACAAAATGCCTTTGTGTTCCCCAGAAATAGAAGGGTCAGAAGGGAAGTATTTCCACGGTTCATATCAGAAACACGTGCTTTTCTTAAAAGAGGCAGTACAGTTAGAGACAAACTTATGCTTCTGCCTTCTGGAAAGGAGTTGGTAACATTTGCTCCCTCTGAGAGACGGAGGCTTCTGACATCACCTTACAGTTTTAAAACCTTTGTCTCTTGGGGTTCCAAAGGATGACTTTGCTTTTTCAGGAGATGGAGGACTGTTGCTAACCTTCACGACTGGTCTCTCTGCCTCTTTTTCCCTCCTTCCAAATCCTCCAGCGTGAAGATCTTCGTGATTTCCGAGCGGCCGCAATGCGTAGCTGTTGTGACCCACGCTGCTTTTTGAACGTAGTTCTGCGAAACCAATCCTCAGGTTACCTCCCTCTCGATTCAGAAACGGGTTTCGGTGGCTTTTGATCAGAAAGACCGCAGCACCTTTTCAAACCTGTATCTAACCCTGAAACTGCCTGAGTGCTGATTTTTAGTGTTCTTTTTGCCTTGGCGGCGCAGCAGGCGCGTGCTGTGAGGCCTCTGTAAAACTGATGCAGGTTTGCAGCCTCCAAAGCAAATACTAACCTTGGCTGGTACGTGGTGATGCACACTACCAATACCAAGCCTTTTTTTTTCTTCCACAGGTGGCTGGTGGTGGAGGTGCTGATCCCCCCAGGTGTGTACCCACTGCTTAGGGCCTACTGTGCCGTCCCACAGGTTAACCGCAGAGAATCCCTAAATTGTGGGGGCTGTTTTTTACACTGAGCTTTACAGTACACAAGTTCCAGAAGCTGTCACGTAGTTGGAGGTTGTTGCCTTTTGTAGGTTGGTAGTGGGGGAGTAGAAAGCGACTCCTGTTGCGTCGTTACTGTCCGTGGGGAACGAAACAAGCGTCTCTGTCTCCGCAGAACGGTCACTTGTGGCTAAAGTCTGGGGTGTGCGTTTCACGGGTGTTTTCAGCTCCCTTCTAGGCTGCTTTGTGCAGACCTCCAAGAGAAAATGATCACATGTGCTTGAAGCACCTGTAGGTGTTGCTGCCTTCTGGTTATGGGGTGTATCTGCCCATCAGACAGAATTGGCTGGGATTTGGACCAAGCCCTCTCTTGCCCTTGTGTGCCGAGGTCTGAGGAGATAGATGGCTTCGTGCTTTTGCTGTGGAGGCAGCTGTGAGCTGAGAGCTCGCAGGCTGCGTTCCCTACCTGGCACTCTTGCCTGAAAAGCAATTGCAGCGAGTCACGGCTGTGGGAGCTCAGGAAAACGTGCTGTCATCCTGGTCAGCGTCTTTTAGGTGAGAATAATCCCGGGCTTTGTCACTACTCATCCGTTCGCTGAACTCCTCTGAGCCAGCGGCGGCTGCGTTTTTATCGGTGCACATTCAGATGCTGCGGAGCATGAGAAGAAAACTGTCAGGCTTGGAGTGGCGTGTAGGAAGGGAATTCTCATGGGCCAACTCAGACTGAATCCTCGACAGATAGCAAAAAGGACAGTGGTATAGAGTTCATGGGCTGAAATGGGATGTTTTCATAACTGGTTGTGACGTGTGCACGAAGCTGCAGACAACTGGTAATGAATTCATCGAAGAGCGAGTCCAGCTGTGGTTCTTCAGAATCATTAAAATGTCTCTGTGACTCGCTGAAAGGGACTAAACTGGAGCAATTAGAACTGTAATAAACATCTCTGAAGTCTTGTGTCTGTATACAAAACAACATCTGTCTGTTCAGAGCTCTGAGCAGCCTGATGTTCTGCTTGGGATTGTGCAGAGCAAAGTAAACGTCTTTTCATATTAAAATCTATAGACCTTTTGTTTTTCTAACTGAGGCTACTTCTCCGTGTGCCGCAGGGTTCTTGTCCTCTTCATTTCAACTAGGCTGCTACGTTTCCTAAACCAAAATTTTATTGTTCGAGTCTAGATGAATGCATCTCATTCATTGACTTAATTCTGGTAAATCAAACCTTTTATTTCAAAAGCTCCAGCAGAGGGGCATTAAGCAACACTACTGAACTTCAAGCAGAAATGCACTTATCACTGTTGTGGACACAGGCTTAAATGTACGCTCTAACATATCTGTAAGGCAGTGAAAAGAAAGAGCTAAGAAAGTATTAAGGGGTAGGAATGAGTTTTTGTTTTGGGTAGGACTAAGGGAATCTGTTTTGCTTCCAAATGGGTGTCCTTTGTCCTGCCTCACATCACGTGGTTATGCCTCCAGCTGCGACACGGTGGTTTATCATGAGAATGACAGCCCCCAGGGAGGAAGGCAGCAGCTCTCAAGAAGTTTGGAAAGCAGCTACGCTCTTTGAAATGGAATTTTTAGAACATCCTGTCTACAGGATATTTATGAATTAGATGCTTTGCCTGTGAACTGCTAGAATCTCTGCTGAAGGCAATCGAGGAATTCTTGCAGGCTTCTGGTGGTGAAAAATCTGTGCAAGTTTGCAGAAGCTGCTGTTCAGGGTAGAAAATAACCAGTGTGTAGCAGCATACGTCTTGCTGAACTCTTACCATCTGCTGTTTAACGCTGGGGAAATTCTCCTGCGAAGCCAAGGGGTTGAATAGTTGGCATTACTGATCAGTTTCTGTGTGCGGGTTCAGTTCTTGTTTCCTCATTTCCCCAAGTGGACCCGCTCCTGGTTGTGGGGTTCAGGAGCACGTTGGAGGTTATAGGCTGTGACCACTTAATTAGAGCAGTAACCGAGTTTATACTGTTGGAATTGCTTTAATTACAGAAAGCTCTTCAGTTTCATCAGAGCTGTGGTCTGTGTACCAGATGTTGGAAAGAAGAACGATAATTTTAAATTTTTTTTCTTCCACTTGCATATTTTCAGCAGTATGTAAGAAGTTTGTTGCAAACGTGATGCAGCAGGTTTGGCAGCACCCCCGTCTAAACAGGGTGGATAAGGATCAGCTCCTGAAGCATTTGTTTCGCTTAACTCAGTTCAGTTTCTTTAAGCTGCTGCGTGGTATTTGCTGGCATCCTGTATTCATCCCAGTGAGAGTTCTCTCTCTCATTTCTCTAGAGAGCCATTAGACGCTTCTTGTGAAATTATGGAGAAGCTCTGCTCAGGGGCAAAAACTGTGACAACTCTCTTACACCCTCACCTCCGCTAATTGTCATGTGCTGTGGTGCATAAGCCGGAGCATTGGGTTGAGTTAAAACAGGGAATTTTTTTCTTTTTAAGAAACACCACCTACATGACAACAACACAAGTGGAGTTCCTTCTCTGAGGCAATCTTACTTCTCCACCGAGGCTCCTGGCTCTATTTCTCAACAGATTTCATTGTTTCTGTTGCTTCTGTTACTCCATTTTAATGAAACTCTCCTCTCCCGCTCTTTAGTGCCTGTCCCTTTCTGCAGAGCGCGAGTGGACAGCAGTAAACCTGTCCTACTACCCTTGTTTCCCTCAAAGTTTCCTTTATTTCCAAATGAGCTGTTAAGACTATTTCAGCTAGTGTAGCTCTTCCACATCCAAGCTAGTGGACTCTCCCAGGCTTTGGGAGAGGCTGGCAGTGGTGATAACAGTCACAATACTGTCATTTATTCCAGTAGGAGTAAAGGTCAGTGTTTGCTTTATCTCAAAAATGTAGTTATTTCTCACCCCAGATGACCAGACGGGGGGCTGCGTGGACGTAAGCTAGTTGAGCTTCTGGATGAGGGTAGAACAGGCTGACCCTGAGCTCCTCTGCTGCGCCACACACTCGTCATTCTCCGCAGCCTTTTCTTACGCAGGTGCTAGGTAGCGGTGTGGTCCTGCGACCTCCCGTTGGCAGCGTTCGCCGTGCGGTTTCCGCAGATGGGTTCCATATGTTCAGGTTATTGGAGTGCATCATTTGACTTCATTGGCTGTTAAATCTGGATTCATCTTCTCATGTGCGGTGGGGCAAGTGTCACAAAGGCTTGTAGACCTTATGCTATCTTTGAAAAAAGTAGGTAGGAGTCTTACTTGGCAGAATCCAGGGTATCATGAATTGACTCTGTATCTGGATCATCCTTTGATCCCTGGCTCAGTCTTGCATTGTTTGGAGTCTAACAGTGGCTGGCTTTTGGACAGGGTGTCCTAGGATGAACTTACACAGTACTGTCAGCAGATGTAATTATCACAGGGATTTTGCTGAAAAGTAACTGCTAGACATCTGTCAGACTACTAATTCACGTTTATTTAATTAGCATCGTTGGGTTTTTTTTCGCCCCTGTCTCCCTTAACCAGATGAATTTGATGCCTATATCATCGTGTCCTTCGTAAACGCCACCCTGGTGCTGTCTATCGGAGAGACTGTAGAAGAAGTGACTGATTCCGGGTTCCTGGGTACTACGCCCACCTTGTCCTGCTCTCTTCTTGGTGATGATGCTTTGGTGCAGGTAATAAAAGCTGCTCCTGATGCGTGTGTTTGTGTCCTCCTCTCTGCTTGCTGCACAGCCGTTGCTTTCTACCGTAGTGTGACAGATGTTGTGTCTAAAGGCCTGGGTCGTCAGAGAATGACGCTCAGCCTTTCCCTTTTTATATCCTGCTAAGTGAGACTGGACCAGCTGAAGATGGTCAGTGTCTCCTTCAGTGCTCAGCAATTCCTTACTGTAGTTCAGAGGGGCAGTGCTTTCAGCCAGAGGGTGGCTTTGCTGTTGCTAATGGATCACTGGTGCTTGCCTTTGGCTTTTTTCAGTTTCCGAATCACTGGTGAGATGGGAGTTGTGGAGGGATGGTAAATGCAGAATTGATGTGACTTTTGTTTCTGCCCGCCCCCCTTCAGGTTTATCCGGATGGGATCCGGCACATCCGAGCAGATAAGAGAGTAAACGAATGGAAGACACCAGGGAAAAAAACCATTGTAAAATGTGCTGTGAACCAGCGACAAGTAGTGATAGCCCTGACTGGAGGAGAGCTGGTTTACTTTGAGATGGACCCGGTACGTGTGCTAGTGCTGTGAATAAGTTTGGAGGAGCATTCCAGAGACTGAGCCGTGATCAGGCTCGCAGGAGAGGATTCTGTAATGAGGCATCCTAGAACAGATAGATCGAAGCCTCACGTATCTGGACTTTGCCTCGAGTTAAATGATTTAATAGCTAATTGAAGTCTCTAAGGTCCGTAACGTGTGTTTTTCTGTCTCAGTCAGGACAGCTGAATGAGTACACGGAGAGAAAGGAGATGTCGGCCGATGTAGTTTGCATGAGCCTGGCCAATGTTCCCCCTGGGGAGCAGCGCTCCCGGTTCCTTGCTGTTGGGCTGGTGGACAACACCGTCAGAATTATTTCCCTCGACCCTTCGGTGAGTAGCTGTGCTGTTTCTGCCTCTCCCATTGGCTGGAAATGTTCAGAGGGGTGCTCCAGAGGGGGGCTGTGTCCGTCCAGGCTGTATTTTCGTAGGTGAATGACCAAGAATGACTAGCTTGCCTGGCTTTTCTCTGTTGGTTCGCAGGAAGCGTGGCCCACGATCCTAATCTGTAACAGCTGATCTAATTTTTCCCGTGCCTGGAGATGATAAGATAGGAGAGCCTTTTCATTTTGTTTTGTTTGTTTGTGTTTTGGGGTTTGGTGGGTTTTTCCCCTCTCTCTCTCAGTGTTTATACGTGTGCCAAGGGGAAGTCGTGTTTGACCAACC